AACATCCTCTTTTCAGGCTTTCTACTGCCTGCTGCCTGGTGAATCTCTGCCAGCACATCTGCAGGCAGAAGGGGAATCTCTGCACCTTTTGAACAATGCTGGCATCACTCCACAGGTGACAGGAGGATGTCAGAGGTCAGCGTTGCTGCTAGATGGACAACACCGCTGTCCAAAGACCCAGCCCAGAGCAAAAGAAATTTGGATTTCTCTGCCAGTATTGATATCTCCACCACCATTGAAAAACTCATTTGATGTGCTATGCAATCACTGAGTACAACGCATAGTTAAGCACTTCTCAGTCCCTTTGATTTCATTCTCCAATTAAGACAACTAAGTTCTAAATATTTGCCTGGATCATGTCCAGTAGCATGAAGATGCCTGGCAGCAGGGTTAATTTCCTAGTCAGACAACTTGTGCATTGTTGCATTAGCACCTATGATATTTTTAGTGTAGAATTTAATATGTGTGGGCTACATTTATAAAAGATATAATATCTAAAGAAACACCTGTCAAGCCAGATGCTGCCACTGGACACAGATAGTAATATTTTCATAGAGGTGAATGCAAAGATCTGCAAAATAACTTCTGACTTCATCAAATTGTACACACACATTGCTGTTTTCCTTATTATGTATTTTAATTGAGCAGAATGCACCATCTCATGTAGGGGGCGGGGGGTAAATTCCACTGAAAAAGGCGGAAAAACTGCATTAAATTCCATCAAGGGAACAGCAGGGATCAAAGGCTAAATGTGCACACTTGAAAGCAACTAAATAAGAAGTGTTTTCAATTGCTCAGAAGGAAACTAATTACAGAAACAAAATAATATATTAATGGAAAATGGAAGAGAATGCTGTGATGTGATGCTGTGATGCTACAGTTCCTAACTCATCAATGACATTTAACACTTCAGCTAATTTTCATAGGTTATGAAAGAGGCAACTGCAAATTGCTCCCAACTCCTGATAGGAAAAAAAAAGTGTGCTTTTAGATTGGGATTACAACTCAGTTGACTGTCAGAGGAGTGTTATTTAAGAGACAGAATACTGATGAATGTCTGCACTTAACTTGCATCTCTGAAAAACAGGCTTCAGGAAAAGGACATGAATATGCTACTCTTGGCCAACATCTGCATGGATTGGGCCTATTGTCAGTATGAATTGCAGCATAAAGAAATATCTGTTCTATAAATCCACAAAGCTGGCTCGTGCCATCTAACATCAGCCTACACATTTTCAAGCAAGGAGTGGAGATACACATTCAGATAATCTCTCCAGAATGAAGCGAAGCCTGATCCATAGGGATGAATGAGGCACCACCATCCTCAGCCTGCCCTCAGCCAGCTTCCACCTGCTGACTTCCTTACTTAAAACCTGCCCAGGAGCTGGCAGTGACTGCCATCCTCATTCTCTTCAATCTCAGTGTTGTCTTTGCAGAGCTCAGCAGGGAGGAGGATGGGAACAGAAGCAGCAGTAACTGGTTCTGTGTAATACTGGCTGTAGCCTTCCTGCCTTTTGCCCTACCAGTCCCAAAGCACACCAGTTTCCATTGTCAAAATGTATGTGAATTGCTGCTGCTTTCAAACCAGCATACTTAAACAGCAGTAGTGGACAACATGTGGGGCGGCAGTGATTGCTTGACCTCCAGTTGGTGTAACCCTGCTGAAAGGGAGGAAGGCCTGAGGTTGGTGCAGTGCAAGCATACCAGCAGGAGCTCCAGATTGGCTCTGCCAGCACATTTGCAAGCTGCCAACCTCACCGCCATCTCACCCCTTCCCTCTCTACATTATAATAATAATAATTTATTATTTATACCCCACCCATCTGGCTGAGTTTCCCCAGCCACTCTGGGCGGCTCCCAATCAAGTGTTAAAAACAGTACAGCGTTAAATATTAAAAACTTCCCTGAACAGGGCTGCCTTCAGATGTCTTTTAAAGAGAAGATAGCTGCTTATTTCCTTCACATCTGAAGGGAGGGTGTTCCACAGGGCGGACGCCACTACTGAGAAGGCCCTCTGTCTGGTTCCCTGTAACCTCGCAATGAGGGAACCGCCAGAAGGCCCTTGGTGCTGGATCTCAGTGTCCGGACTGAACGATGGGGGTGGAGATGCTCCTTCAGGTATACAGGACCAAGGCCATTTAGGGCTTTAAAGGTCAGCACCAACAGTTTGAATTGTGCTCGGAAACATACTGGGAGCCAATGCAGATCTCTCAGGACCGGTGTTGTCCCGGCGGCCACTCCCGGTCACCAATCTAGCTGCCACATTCTGAATTAATTGCAGTTTCTGGGTCACCTTCAAAGGTAGCCCCATGTAGAATGCATTGCAGTTGTCCAAGCGGGAGATAACTGCACCACTCTGGCGAGACAGTCTGCAGGCAGGTAGGGTCTCAGCCTGTGTACCAGATGGAGCTGGTGTACCAGATGCTCACCTGGTCCTTCAGGGGCACAGTTATGCCATTCAGGACCAAGGAATCCCCCACAACTGCCCGCCCCCTGTCCCTCCAAAACAGTACTTCTGTCTTGTCAGGATTCAACCTCAGTCTGTTACATCATGGTAAGCAGCAGTGACACAGCCAACCAGAAGCAAGGTGAGCACAGCCACCCAACCATGCCATCTTCTGCAATTCAACAGTGATGCTTAACAGTCCACTGAGGACCTCTCTCTTTTTGTTGCTTTTCTGGGACTGCAAAATAAAGGAGGGCTTCACAGGGCAGGGCTGGCTGAATGCATTTGGCTTGGTGGGACATATATTCTGCAAAGGAATATCTTAAAACATTCGTTTAGCTTCAGCAGACATCAACATCCTGAGAGATGAATGGGAGAATCATTGCTTTAATTTTCATACACTTCTGTAGATTTGAAACTGCACTTCATCACAGATGAAAATGTTTGCCCATTGTACAAGAGTCCTCAACGCCTTAATGAGAGAAAGAATATCTAAATGCACTGTTTGGAAACATGTTATTCAGGAGCACTTAACACCAAGGATACAGCCTCTCCCCAATTAAATCTCACTGCTATGGCAAATGGAATTGCACAGATGTGTCACTATGTACAGTTTGTACTTCATGTGTCTGTCTTGGCACTTTAGATATTTTAAATGTATTTTAATAAGTCTGTCTGTTCCACAAAACTCCAGGGAGAAGCACCTTCCATACAAACTTCCTTTTAATTTCCTAACTCAAGCTGGGACCCCAGCTGGCCATTGTTTCTCTAGCCCAGATTTGGTCAGTAATTTATTTCTTAGTCTGAAAAGTAAGGCAAGAGCTGACCCAACAATGCTTTTATTTGCTTTTGATCTTGACCCACCCCAGCACTTTGCCTTAGAACTCTGTTTACCTAGCTCAGTTTTGTCCACTCTGACTGGCAATGACTCTCCTTCCTTGTAAGTTTTTAAGCAGAGGTTTGCATGGCCATGGATGCGTTAGCTGAAATTCCTGCATTGCAGGGGGTTGGACTAGATGACCCTCGGTGTCCCTTCCAACCCTACAAATCTATGTTTCTATTACTCTTTTTAGGATCTCAAATGAAGGTTTCCCCCATCATCTGCTATCTGATCCTTTTAGCTATAGATGCCAAAGATTGAGTCTGAGACCTTTTGTTTATTGAACTTTTTGTTTTATTGAACTTTTTGTTTATTGAACTTTCAAAGCTAACAGAAGGAAAAATAAGGGGGGGGGGAGAAACAAATCATCATGCAGGATCAGTGCAGACATGGAACATAAATCTTAGCAATATTTTGCTGTACTTAACAAGTACTTGCACATATTTGAAAAAGAAAATCCTAGAGTAATTAGCAATATGCTGAACTCAAGAGGTGGCTCAAGCAAAGATGCTAATCTTAATTTGCTTGCTTTCTTATGTCTGCACCACATGAACAGAAATATAAGAGTAAAATATAATGAATATATCAAAAATTAATAGACCTCTAATAAGAGTAAGGGGGAAATCAAATAGCATGAGTCTGTTAAATCTTGTTGATTGTAATTTCATGTAACCCATACTTTAGCATAGACTGTATATTCATAGACAAAATGAAATCAGACAGCATTGCAAAAAGCCTGTCATTTTTACTACACAGCCTTAAAAAAAATTCTGCAGTCATTAGCAATACTTTTGAACTCAAAAATAACCAAACAAAAATATTAATTCACTTTCTTTCTTATGTGTGCACCATTTTCTTTCTTATGTGTGCACCATTGATTAGAAATAATAAGAATAAGAAAAAATATTATTAAATCAAATAGCATAAGTGCTAAATTTTGTCAATTGTATTTTCATGTAACCATACTTAAGCATAGGCTTGAAGAACCTTATTCATAAATAATATGAAATCAAACAAAAAGTCTAGCTATTACAAAAAGCCTACCTTTTTTACTAGAACCCCTAGAGACTTGCAGTTTATGGGGATATTTTTTTTTCTTGCCAGACGCTTGAGGACCAATGGTCCAAACTGACTAATTCAATATTTTTCAAAACGTTGTAATGCACATTATTGCTGCCATTGAAAGGCGAGGGGTGAGTTCCTTGTTTTTAAGGTATTTAAGGCACCAGATGCAGAGATGAGACAAGAGTTTTATCTGCTGTTAGAGAAATCTCCTTAAACACCTTGACCCATTATTTTGCAACATTAAGGGATTCCCACTACATTTGCTCCCAGGTATCCCCTTTTGGCAGCCCATCCAGCGAGCTTCTCAGATGCATAAGTGAAAGCTGGTATCATCACAGCAGATGCAAAGGACATCTGCCTGTGGCCAAGTGCTTAGTACTGAGCTAGACATATTAAATATATTTACATTTCAAATAGATTTTTTTATATATCTACTGTTTTAAATCTATTACTTCTATTTCGGTCCAGAAAAAAACAACCAAAAAAGCAAGATAGAAATGAGCCTAATGATACTGATTATAACTTAGGTTTCTCTCTGCCAGGAGTGAAACGAATTCCATTTCCTGGTCTTGGCTTCTGCTTCTAACTTCTTTAATACTTGCTGGAACATCAGGTGGTTGGAGAACCAAGCTGGTTCAAGACCTTGTCCAACCACTGCAAGGGGCCATTCAGATGGATCTCAATCCAGCAGGGAACACTCGCGAGCGTCTGCCGCTTGTGTTCAAGTCCCCAGGGCTTGACGAAGCTCATTCGGATGATGCACATCTTCATCAGCTGGTAGACCGCTTCAAAGCCCCGGGTTGCAGCCTTGGACAAACTTTCACCAAATACGTCCTTACGGAAAATTTTCAAGTTGCATTCTTTTGGAATCTTGATAACAGTGGACGGAAGCACTCCATAGCGCTGGTTACACATGAGAGACTGGACAAAAACGGGAGTCTTGCTAAGGCACTCCAGAGACACGTCCCCATCTTCATAGCAGAGTCTCACTCCTTCCCTGATGTACATTCTGGCTTGCTCCACCTCAGAATTGCGGTGGATATTGGTCTGCTGGCCTAAGCAGAAACGTTCAGCATTGATAGGGTCGGTGTAGCCATCTACAATCACGGAGTGCTGGTAAGCATGGAAGCTCTCCCCAACCCGTTGGCCGAGCTCGTAGTAGGTGATGGAACACCAAAAGGCTGGTTCAGAGTACGGGACGGGCTTGATGTTCACATTACTGGGTCCAGGGATCACCGGAGCTTCAGGTGTTTCCTGCTGGCTACTACTACTAGTGCTGGCTGCTGTACTCTCAGGACGACAATGAAGCACAGTGGATGGTGTTTCTACAAAGGTGCTGCTTTTACGGACAGAGGTGCTGCTTTTAGAGGTGCACTTTTTAGGGACAGAGGTTCTCTTTTTAGCGACAGAGGTGCTGCTTCCAGGGTCAGAGGTGCTGCTTCCAGGGTCAGAGGTGCTGCTTCCAGGGTCAGAGGTGCTACTTCCAGGGACAGAGGTGCTGCTTCTTCCAGAGTCAGAGGTGCTGCTTCTTCCAGAGTCAGAGGTGCTGCTTCTTCCAGAGACAGAGGTGCTGCTTCCAGGGACAGAGGTGCTGCTGCTTCCAGATTCAGAGGTGCTGCTGCTTCCAGAGTCAGAGGTGCTGCTTCTTCCAGAGTCAGAGGTGCTGCTTCTTCCAGAGACAGAGGTGCTGCTTCCAGGGTCAGAGGTGCTGCTTCCAGGGACAGGGACAAAGGTGCTGCTTCCAGGGAAAGGGACAAAGGTGCTGCTTTCAGGGTAAAAGGTGCTGCTTCTTCCAGGGACAGAGGTGCTGCTTCCAGCAGGGACAAAGGTGCTGCTTCCAGGGACAGGGACAAAGGTGCTGCTTCTTCCAGGGACAGAGGTGCTGCTTCCAGGGACAGGGACAAAGGTGCTGCTTCTTCCAGGGACAGAGGTGCTGCTTCCAGGGACAGGGACAAAGGTGCTGCTTCTTCCAGGGACAGAGGTGCTGCCCAGCAGGACAACGGTGCTGCTTCTTCCAGGGACAGAGGTGCTGCTTCCAGGGACAGGGACAAAGGTGCTGCTTCTTCCAGGGACAGAGGTGCTGCTTCCAGGGACAGGGACAAAGGTGCTGCTTCTTCCAGGGACAGAGGTGCTGCTTCCAGGGACAGGGACAAAGGTGATGCTTCTTCCAGGGACAGAGGTGCTGCTTCCAGGGACAGGGATAAAGGTGCTGCTTCTTCCAGGGACAGAGGTGCTGCTTCCAGGGACAGGGACAAAGGTGCTGCTTCTTCCAGGGACAGAGGTGCTGCTTCCAGGGACAGGGACAAAGGTGCTGCTTCCAGGGACAGGGACAAAGGTGCTGCTTCTTCCAGGGACAGAGGTGCTGCTTCCAGGGACAGGGACAAAGGTGATGCTTCTTCCAGGGACAGAGGTGCTGCTTCCAGGGACAGGGACAAAGGTGCTGCTTCCAGGGACAGAGACAAAGGTGCTGCTTCCAGGGACAGGGACATAGGTGCTGCTTCCAGGGACAGGGACAAAGGTGCTGCTTCCAGGAACAGGGACAAAGGTGCTGCTTCCAGGAACAGGGACAAAGGTGCTGCTTCCAGGGACATGGACAAAGGTGCTGCTTCCAGGGACAGGGACAAAGGTGCTTCTTTCAGGGTAAAAGGTGCTGCTTCCAGGGACATGGGTGCTGCTTCCAGGGACATGGGTGCTGCTTCCAGGGAAAAAGGTGCTGCTTTCAGGGAAAAAGGTGCTGCTTCCAGGGACATGGGTGCTGCTTCCAGGGACATGGATGATTCTTCCAGGGACAGAGGTGCTGCTTTCAGGGAAAAAGGTACTGCTTCCAGGGACATGGGTGCTGCTTCCAGGGACATGGGTGCTGCTTCCAGGGACATGGGTGCTGCTTCCAGGGACATGGGTGCTTCTTCCAGGGACAAAGGTGCTGCTTTCAGGGACAAAGGTGTTGCTTTCAGGGCCAGAGGTGCTGCTTTCAGGGACAGGGGAGCTGAAATCAGGGAAAATGAGGCTGATATCAGGGAAAAAGTCACTGCTTTCAGGGCCAGAGGTGCTGCTTCCAGGGCCAGAGGTGCTGCTTCCAGAGCCAGAGGTGCTGCTTTCAGGGCCAGAGGTGCTGCTTTCAGGGACAGGGGAGCTGAAATCAGGGAAAATGAGGCTGATATCAGGGAAAAAGTCACTGCTTTCAGGGCCAGAGGTGCTGCTTCCAGAGCCAGAGGTGATGCTTTCAGGGCCAGAGGTGCTGCTTTCAGGGACAGGGGAGCTGAAATCAGGGAAAATGAGGCTGATATCAGGGAAAAAGTCACTGCTTTCAGGGCCAGAGGTGCTGCTTCCAGGGCCAGAGGTGATGCTTTCAGGGCCAGAGGTGCTGCTTTCAGGGACAGGGGAGCTGAAATCAGGGAAAATGAGGCTGATATCAGGGAAAAAGTTGCTGCTTTCAGGGTCAGAGGTGATGCTTTCAGGGTCAGAGGTGATGCTTTCAGGGCCAGAGGTGATGCTTTCAGGGCCAGAGGTGATGCTTTCAGGGCCAGAGGTGATGCTTTCAGGGCCAGAGGTGATGCTTTCAGGGCCAGATGTGATGCTTTCAGGGCCAGAGGTGCTGCTTTCAGGGCCAGAGGTGCTGCTTTCAGGGCCAGAGGTGCTGCTTCCAGGTACAGAGGTGCTGCTTCCAGGGCCAGAGGTGCTGCTTTCAGGGACAGAGGTGCTGCTTCCAGGGACAAAGCTTGCCTGGAGGTTAGAGTTTCCTGGAGCATGGTAGCTGTGATCCTCCAATGGAGGATATGAAGCTGGATCTTCTGGCTGTGTTGGCGGGTGCACTGGAGCACTGGAGCTCTGGAGCAATGTGAATACTGGCTCACTGGTGCACTCTGGCTTTTCCACTTTCTCAAAGTGATACGGATTCACACAGACTTTAGACTTTAGTTTTTTATAGGCGTTTGCGCACGTCTCCATGCTACGCAAATCATGGTGGCTTTGCACTTCTGGCCATCGCCACAGCCGGCAGTAGAGAGTGTGTGGGAAGTTATTTCCGCAGGACGCATACATCTGTTCAAACAGAGGTCTGGTGATGGTGATGCACTTGGTGCCAGGATTCTGAGTGCTGATAGCCTTCTCCAGCTCCCCCAGCTGCTTACTGGCGTGGGTCTTCCTCACCAAGGTCTTGACAGCATTCTCGTACACCTTGGCTTCCTCCTCGTTGAAAGTAAACATCTTCCAGGCCAGCAGGCGTTTGACGGTGGCGGCAGCGAAGAACGGGGGGGACATGGCTGCGTCGGACCCACAAGCAAATGGGGGGACTTGTCAAGCGGCAGCGGGAAAACGAGAGTAAACAGGAGGGGTGACTTGCCTGCTTCTCTTATTTCAGAGGCACCCGGATAGCAGTGAAGACCAGTCGCGGCTAGGAGATGGGACTGTGCCGAGAGGGGCGCGGGCGCTGCAGCTGCAGCTACAACACCTGCCTCGCGCCTCAAACTTTCTCCCGACTTCTCTCACTCCTCTGTGAAGGCGCTTCTGTCGGCAGAGGCAAAAGCTGCTACTAAAACCTCTGCCGGACCCTCCCCCGAACTCCCCCTCATGACCTGGTATCCTATCAGCATCCCTTGGAGACAGAAAATTTGCAGAAGATCTCGGGGCAGAGCCAATCAGAGTTACCAACAATTTGTTGCGTTTGGGAATGAAGTTTCTCATCCAGTTTGGGTTGGCTGCAAGAACTCAATAAATTTAAATTTAAAGCTGCCCTGCAAAGGATCCTGGGAAGTGTAGTTCCTTAAAGATTCTTCCCAAAGAATCCTGTGAGAGTAAATTACAGTTCTCAATATTCTTTTTGGGGGTTGCTTTGAATGTATGGTGTGTACACAATGTTAAGTTCTGCTTGTGGCAGAAGAGTTGGACTTAATAGACCTAAGCTAAGCCTGTCCAATAACTTCCGTGGGTATACTCTTGAGTATGACTACCTTTGGATGCAACACCTAGTGGTTAACACTTTCCACACCCACCAGTTCTCCCCTACAAACGCTCCCTTGAATGTTTTGAAATTGTTTTCCCCTTAGATGTACACAGAAATGGATCTCAGAGTGATAGAAATCTGTCAGGCTGAATGCCCTTGTATGAGCAAATGGACAAATGTGGGAAGATTCAAGAACCCCCCTCATCTCCTGCTGATACTCTCTCCGGTAAACACAGCCTCTGCATTCACATTGACTGGCAGACATGTTGAAAACGCAAGTTTGCTGGTATAATGTTTAGAATTTGTTCAAAGATCCTGTGGTGCCATTTCCCCATCCTTTGCATGTACAGACTGCACGTTGGAGCATTGTGGAGAATAAGAGGTCTGTTTGCACCTCTCATACCCCTGTCCAATAGAATTGTCCATCCTCAGCCTAATGACAGCGTTGGTGGTGGAGTGTGTGTGTTCATCAGGACCATGGAGTGAGAATAATTCAATCCTCACAGCCACCACCACATCCAGTCATAGAATCATAGAAGGGACCCAAAGGGTCATCTAGTCCAACCCCTGCAATACAGGACTCTCAACTAAAGCATCCATGACAGGTGGCCATCCAACCTCTGCTTAAAAACCTCCAAGGAAGGAGAGTCCACCACCTCCCAAGGGAGACCATTCCACTGCAGAACAGCTCTTACTGTCAGAAAGTTTTTTTCTGAATGTTTAGCTGGGATATTCTTTCTTGTAACTTGAAGCCATTGGTTTGAGTCCTACCCTCCGTGCGCTGCTCTGGTTTACCAGAACCGGCTTAGTCATGCTGGCCATATGACCCAGAAGTTGTACGCCGGCTCTCTCGGCCAATAAAGCAAGATTAGCGCTGCAACCTCAGAGTCAGTCACAACTGGACCTAATGGTCAGGGGTCCCTTTACCTTTATCATATCTCTTCTTGGTCTCCTCTTTTCCAGGCTAAACGTACCCAGCTCCTTCAAGCACTCCTAGTAAAGCTCAGTTTCCAGACCATTGATCATCTTGGTCACCCTCCTCTGCATACATTCCAGCTTGTCAACATCCTTAAACTGTGGTGCCCGGAATTGAACACAGTATTCCAGGTGTGGTCTGACCAAGGCAGAATAGAGTGGTACAATTACTTCCCTTGATTTGGACACAATAATTCTGTTGATGCAGCCTGTATTATCCTTTTTTGCTGCTGCATGACGCTGTTGACTCACATTAACCTTGTGGTCCACCAAGACCCCTAGATATTTTTCACATTTACTGCCAGTAAGCCAGGTGTTCCCCATCCTATTTTTATTCATCTGGTTCTTCCTACCTAAATGCAGAGCCTTACATTTATACCTATTGAAATTCATTTTCACCCAGTGAAGTTCAATTCACCCAGTTCTGCAATCTGTTAAAGTCATTATGAATTCTGATTCTGTCTTCTGTGGCATTAGCTACCCATCCTAGTTTGTTGTCATCTGCAAATTTGAAGAGCATTCTCTCAGTTCCTTCATCCAAGTTATTTATAAAGATGGTGAACAACAACGGGCCCAGGACAGAACCCTACAGCATCTTGCTTGTCACTTTTTTCCAGGATGAGGGACCATTAATGAGTACTCTTTGAGTTCAGGCAGTCAACTAGCCACAAATCCAAATCAAAGGTCTTACTGAAACCAAGATAAACTATATCCACAGCAGTTCACTTATTCACCTAGTTTGTAATTCCATTCAAAAAAAAAATCTGATTGGTCTGGCATGACTTATTTTTGAGAAACCCATGCTGGGTCTTAGTAATCACAACATCCATTTCTAAATGCTCACAAACTGACTGTTGAATAATCTGTTCTAGGACCTTCCCTGGTATTGATGTCAAACTCACCAGTCAGTAGTTAACCCTTTCCCCCTTTTTGAAGATGGGGACAACATTTGCCTGCCTCCAGTCTGTAGGGACCTCACCTGTTCTCCAAGAATTCTCTTCTCAATTCTCACCTCATCTGTAAGCTCCTTATGCAGCCACACCGGTTTCCTTAGATGCCTCCCACTTTTATTTCTTGTTGGTATTGCCTGCTTTTGGGCTTTCAATATTTCTCCTTTTAGAAACTACCATCCTTCTTAGACTCCCTTCTCTTTGATATTTCTGACCATGGGATCACACCCAGTAGCTCATTAAGCTTTTTGAAATCACTGTTGCCCTAAACTTGCCCTTTGGGGTGGAGGGTAGTAGAATGGGTATACTTCCTTGCTTTATACAAAATTAACAACACCTGTAGTTTGCCCCTTAAAAATAGACTTTGGTCAGGATGGTGAAAATGTCCTTGCTGTGCTGTAGTAAATTAGCCTCTGTAAAAGGCAGTGGTGGCCACAACCTGGATGGCTTTAAAAGAGGATTAGGGCAGTTTATAACAATTAAAATACAATATTGATATTAAAACACAATGTTATATTATATTAAAAACTGTTTCCAACAACTTAACATTTCAAAAATAAGATGGACCCTAAAAATACATTTCAACCTTAGAAATCCTGATTGGAGAGAATGGGAGATTACACACGAACACACACACACACACACACACACACACACACACACACACGACCAATGCAAACAGCAGGAATTGGGACTGAAGTGGGGCAAAGTGTTAAAGCCAACTATCTACATCAGGACCCCAGTCCAGATCAGGACTCCTGCTCCTGCAACTCTGCAACATGCTTTGGAAAAGTGAGCTGCTAGGCTTGTTGCCTAACAACTCACTAGGCTAGTTGTTGTGGTTGTGAGATTTGGTGGCTGCATATCAAGGCCCCATGACCACCTTGTTCCCTAAGGTGAGAATAACTAGACAACACATGACATATTGGTTTTGGGGATCAAATGAGACTTTATTGGTTACAGATGTGAGCTTTGACCAAAGGCCTTGTGGTAAACAATGGCTCATGTCACTCCTGCTCGTCCACTGGGAGTGTTTCTAAAGGTGAAGCTGGTGGGTGGAGGGGGGGATCGCTCTATGACCTACGTCAAATCAGGGCGTCCCCCAAGCAGTTGCCATTGGAGGAGGAGTATGGCCCTAGCCCCCATCTGGGCATTGGACAGGAGCCACTCCTCCCAGATCCTTTTAACAGGATACCCTTAGCCATGGAGGGGCAGGCGGATGCTACAACCTCCCTTCCAACCAAGACTAGGCATACCCAATGCATACCCACCTCTCAAAGTTGTGGCGATCCTACTGTAGCTCAGTCTGTTAGAGGCTTCATCCAATCTCAGTCCTATTCTGAGTAGATTCTTTGAAATTAATGGACAATACTTAATTTAAGCTCATTAATTACAGGGGGTCTACTCTGTGTAGAACTTAGTTGGAAGCAACTCTAGGATTTATATCCTACTTTTGTTGTGGTTGTGTAATCCAATCCATCCATTATTTCTCGAACGTGTGGTCCCACACTGTTCCCATAACTGCAACAAGAAACTGTCTCATCATTCAGCTGTCCCACATCATGGCTCCCTTTTTACAGACCTTGCCAGAGAGAGGTTTGTGTCCAGAATTTAGGGAAACTCACACTTCCTTAGTAAGGTATGTATTGGGTCAACGTCTCATAAATAGCTTGGGACTTTCTAGCTTGTTTGAATTTCTCTCCTTTTTTTCTTTTGTTTCTTTCCTTCTTTTGAATATAAGACAAGGGAAACAAGCTGAAGTATTTTCAAAGTGCACGTATCATGTGGCCAGTAGATACTTGAAGATGGCTATCATATCTCCTCTCAGCATAGCTGTCAACTTTTCCTTTTTTTTAAGGGAAAGTCCCTTATTCCAAATAGGAGTCCTCACAAGAAAAGGGAAAAGTTGACAGCTATGCCTCTCAGTCTCCCCTTTCCCAGGCTACACATATGCAGCTCCTTCAACCATTCCTCATAAGGCTTAATTCCCACACCCCTAATCATCTTGATCGCCTTTCTCTGCACACGTTCCAGCTTGTCAATATCCTCCTTAAATTGTGGCACCCAGAACTGGACACAGTGCTCCAGGTGTGATCTCACCAAGCCCACATGAGGTCCTATTTATGCTAGTCGTAAGAAGGAAAGCCATTTTATATATCTATAGAGCTTTCCTGTGGCACCAGATCAGAGATAAAAGTGACTGTAGATAATTTCTACATGCAACAGTGCAGAAAACTGCATTGTGATCTCTTTTGACACACCACAGTACAAAGGGATTACCTGTGTATCACAACTGCATTGCTAGAAATTCTCTGCAAATATACTGGATAACCCAATCTTATTCATCAGCTGGATGCATAGGTGAAGTGGAATGGGAGTGGATGAGCAGAAAAACATTCATCTGCACTGGCTGAAACAAAGAGGCATTCTTTCTGTTAGTTCAATAAGCAACCTTTGAGTGCAATCTTTCTCCTCCACCTTAAATCTATTGCAAAGCTACTGCAAGCTGACTAAAGGTACTCACCGGAAAAAAAGAAAAAGAAAAAGAAAGAAAAAAAAGGGGTGGAAAAAACTGGGGAGAATTGAACCACTTTGTTTCCATGGAGTTTATTTAACAGTGTGTGCCGATTACTCAAAGCGATATGGGCAGGACCTGGTGATCTAGCGATGCTCTAGAATTTTAACTTTTAAGGGGTTTACGATTCCAGTTTGCCTGCAGTACGAGATAATTTCTTTTGACATTTGTGGCCAGGAACCCTGCTTTATCGCTTTGTATAGTTTTAAAGTAGTTTAAAGCTTGAATAACATAAAATAACATAATATAATGTTATTTATGTTATTTCCCACGTGAAGAACTCCTGTAAACCTTGCAGTATTGAAACTCAGTGAACAAGGCATCTTAGACAAGCTGAAAAACAAATGGTGGTACGATAAGGGTGAATGTGGCGCCAAGGACTCGGGAAGTAAGGTCAGTCGCTGAAGGTCTTTTTGTACTGATTAGCAATCACATATATATTTATATATATATATTTTTGACCCGCTGTTTTATTTTATACCAAAGTTATTCTCCAAAGTTAACTATTTACATTCTAAAGCATTGAGGAAAACACACCCCATCCCCGTCAAAAAAGAAAAAAAGGGCAGGGATTTTTATTTATTTTTTATTTTTAAGAGAACTCCATTTTTTTAAAAAAAACTCAGTAAAAATGACAGCCTTTTTCTTTTGCAGTATCAAAGGCGCTAGTTGTAAGTACATTTTTATATATATATACTCAGGTTGACCCCTCCCTCAAAAAAAAATAATCTCAAACTGGTATCTCTACTTTAATATATACCTACAGAAGTTCCGTTTGAGTCCATGTATGATTTTTTTAGCCTCCAGTTTGCCTTTATTTTCCATAAATTTTCAAAGCTCATCGATTTTATTATGAAATTCCGTAACTCCTTTCCATGCACAATGATGGTTTTTGAACAACAAATGCATGAGTGTTAAGGATGGATATTTTTCAGAGGACTTCACATTAATGAGCATGACATATCCTTTTTTTTTTTTTAAAGGAAGAAAGAAAGTCTGGAGGGGTTTATTTTTTAAATATATATATAATAGTGCACTATTTTATTGCTGGTTCATTCCATAAATCTTAGCCATTCAATTTTTTTTTTATGATTATTCATCAAACCATTTTGCTACTGTATTACTTACATTCCATACCAGAAACTTTTGCCACTGCGTACTTTGATTTCCCTTTTATGGTATGGCTTTCAGCTTGTCACAAGCTTCACACACAAATTATGTTGCTGGGGCGGTGGGTGTGGACCATCCCAGTGGGGACTTCTCCAGTGGAACTTCCATAAGTTTGAAATGGATACTCCAGATGTAGAAGTGACCCAGGGGGTTTCCATCCATAAACGCTTTTCCTTCTTGATTTGGGAGAAAACATTATGCTTACCTGCTGTGATGAAACATGGAGATGTATATATAATGGAACAATTACAAAAGGAAAAAAGAACTGAAATACCCAACCAGTATTAAATACTGATTTGGATGCATTTCTAAGGCACTAAACAACAGCCTGGTGTCCAGTTCCCATTGCAAACAGATGAGAATTGAACACCTGCCTTTCGTTTGTGCCTTTGAAAAATTACTGTTATAATGACCATAATAAGAATTACTAGAAGTTTTTTTAGAGGGCTCCATTTTCTGGTCCTACTGAAGTCAACTCATTAGTATTGATTCCAGCAGGGCTTGGATATGGCTTCTTGTTAAGGTGAACTTTGGGCCGATGGATGTTTGAATGCACCATTGCAGGATCAGCCTCTTTGTAACTCAAACCTAAAACCAAAAAAATCAGAAATGATTCAAAATTTATTAAGACAGCCAAGCCCAGTCTTCTAAAATGTGTTTGTTTTCCCCTGGCTGGAAGAAACTGATCTATTTTGGGATGTGGTTTTCATTGTTTGGTTTTGGGACATTTGGGGGGGGGGGGTTTCCAAATTCAAAAGACATTTTGCAACTGCTTAAAGATTTTTGGTAAGCTGAGGCTTAACCTGCAACTTTTTAAAGAGTCCGTTTCAAATTTCTGCCGTAAATTGGTCTGGAATCCAGATTGACATCAATTACTCAGGCCTTGCCTACATGAGAGAGCTGTGTTGGTTTTAGATGAAATTAGCTGTCAGACTGGAGCAAGCCCCTGTGTGTGGACTGCTTTTTTGTTAATTAGAATGGCTTGTTGCCACTTTCTGCTTGCTGAGTTACATTTTGCAATTCTCATAACCGTGGAGGCTCATTTAGTCCTGCAACGTTAACAGCTGCTGATAGCTTAGTCACCGGTTGCAATGTGAGTCTTGGCTGGGAGGGGAACCCAGTCTGGCAAGCCCAAAAGCAGTCTGTCCACACTGAGACTTTAACCAGTTTGACTCAATCTGTTTGAATTCATATTCCAATGCACACCTGCACAGCCTTCTCATGTTGACAAGCCTTCTGATTTTCTTTGTGTCACAGCTCAAACCATAAGTATTCAAACAATTGAGAAACCATGTAGCAGGTAATCCAATTCAGCAGCAAAATGGTTATGATGGTGTCTCAAAACAGACAGAGAAATCATTAATATTATTTTTTCAAACAAAAGGCTTCCCCCATTGCCTTGATGGTACACCTTAGACAATATAGATTGATTAATATTTTAAGCAGGGAGTTTTGTTTGTTTGTTCAACCCCAGAAACTCAAGTGAGAGCATAGGGTTATTTAGCTCAGCCTGAAAGTAACTGACCAGCTTCATCAAACATAGCAACTGTTGCTACCAGATGTTAAAACAGCAAAAAAAAGTGATTCTTTTCCTCTACATTCTCCAATATCAACAGAATTAAAGGCCTTCCTTTAATTTTTTTTTAAATGAAAAAGCAGTTTTTTTCTGAATTCACCGTGCTATGTTCTGCCCCGCTCCAGAGGGGGAAAATGTTTAAAAGATCAATAGAAAGGCTCAGGTTAGCACAGTGATATTCACCATGAAGCTGTATGTAGTCAGCTACAAAGTGAATACCACTGGTTTAGGGAACTATCCATATTGTTACCAGATACTGTATAGTTAGTATCAAGTAGGGGGAGATAAAACATTGTTTCCTGGGTGTTCCTGCCTTAAGCCCTTTCATGTCATGGGACATTATTTGTGAGATGAATCTGGCAAGAGTGTTTTGGTTCAGCTGGTTACCTCTGAAATTGATGTAAAGATTTGGGTACAAAGAGTTCTAAGCTGCAAAATAGTGAGAGAGTGAGTTGTCTTAATACACATTTAGGCCTTCAAAGCTAGACACCTCTAGAAAGATGTTGTCCTTCTGTCTCTTTCCTTCCCGCTGCAAAACTAACCAACTGGTTCGTTTTTCTTAGGACAAGACAAGCGCTCTCAGCCTGAGCAATGTTGCTGGGGTTTTCTATATTCTTGTCGGAGGTCTCGGCCTTGCCATGACGGTGGCCTTGATAGAGTTCTGTTACAAGTCACGGGCCGAGTCCAAACGAATGAAACTCACAAAGAACACACAAAACTTTAAGCCTGCTCCTGCACCCAATACCCAGAATTATGCTACGTACAGAGAAGGCTACAACGTGTATGGAACAGAAAGTGTTAAGATCTAGTGGTACGGCTAAAGGTCCAGTAAGCAAATCAACTGGTTTATGTTTTTGGTGTTCCCTGTGGTGATGTGTTGTTGGTGTTGTGTTCCCCAACGTGGAGTAACATCTCAGGATTATGCACATCAGAAATGGGACACAACACAGTTGATGCCTTTTCAACATGTGTTCTAGCAATGCCATGGGAAAGGCAGTAGTAGTTGATTAGCAGAGCACCTGATTCACATGCAGAAAGTCCTAGGTTTGTCTCGGGCCCTCTGGCTGGGAGAGAACCATGTCTGAAATCCTGAGAGGCCACTGAGAGTCATACCCAGTGTGATTGGTCAACATTCCGACTCAGTATAAGGCAACTTCCTCACCTTTAATTCCCAAACAATTATTGGATTAATTCTTAAACCATTTGCCGTCCTGGATTTTCACTGTGGCGCCAGGACACTTTGAATGGCAGCTTCTAGGGCTCGCCCAAGACTTGCCACCACTTGAGAGAGATCATCTAAATAAAAACAGCACACACACCAGTGCATACTCAGTGAAAAAATATCCCAAATTTATTAGCTGCCATGAATGGATGCATTAACATTGCAGCCTCCAGCAATCATGTTAGTGCACCAAAAATTAATTTTACAAATCACACACACAAATACAAATATGAAACACACACAAATATAAAACAAGATCACATGTCATTAAAAAATCATAATAAACAATAAATTGAATTTGTTTGCCCTTAAGAGGGGCCCTTAAATTTGTCTCCTGAAGCAGCCGCCTCATTTATCCTCACTGGAAGGTCAGCCCTGAAAACTTTGGCGCTGGGCTTCACAGGTCTTGCCAGGATATCATCATGCCCTCCAGCCTTACACATAGAGATGGACATCATTGATTATTCTTTCCTGACTTTCTTATGATCTTTTCCCCTTTCATTTATTAAAGGGAACTGTGGTGACTTCAGGTAAGTGCATTCTTGAGGTGTCTCCCCTGCTGCCAAAGCTGTGGGGGTGGGGTGGGGGTGGGGGGATAACACACTGACTTTCTACAATTATGTGATTTGTATAAGCAGCAAGGGTGAATGACAGGTGTGTATGTACATGGGAGTAGGAGTAGGGGAATCTCCTGGTGAAGACAAGGGCGGAATTCCCAATTATTGCTTTCTAATGATGATTAAGGGCTTACCCACACTAACCCTTCCTTCATGCTTTCCTGGCACAGTCCAACACTTTAAAGCTCTGTGTTCGAGCACCCTTTTTTCTTTCTTTCTTTTTGGCTCCAGAGCTTTGCTCCCTGTAAAAACACACTTTCAAAAGCTGAATCAGAGCAAAGGACAATCTGCAGAAAACCATTTGTGGACCGTTGCCTGGAATGAGTGGGGCAAGAAGTGGATAAGCCCTAACTCCTATCTCTACTGCATTTGAAAGGTCACAGTAATGTGCTATAGCATTAGCAATCATCATTTCTCTAGCTATAAGTCATAGCATAGATAAAATGGCATTCAGAATTCAGCTACAAATTCGTCTCTCTATTTTCTGCCAGTGCAAGCAAGGAAAAATGCAAGGTGACATAATTTTCCTTGTCTGATAGCAGAAAGCAAACAGGCTCACTTGATGTAACATAAATTCCTCCATGGCTAAACTCAGTCCCACCCCCCCCACCCCCACCCCACACACAGAGATATTTATATACAAGGTAATATAATGACAACATCCTCTGTAGCTGTTCCAAAAGTAATTTCTCACAACGGCCATCCGGGAAGGCAAAGGTCATAACATTAATTCTTAATTCAGTAAGGCAATTCTACTTGGAGCTGAGGTTATTACTCCAAATAAGTAGATACAGCCTAGATAATTTCAAAGAAAGGTAGCATATCAGTAATGTGGGTGGTGCTGTGGGTTAAACCACAGAGACTAGGACTCTCTGATCAGAAGGTCGGTCGGTCGAATCCCTGTGACGGGGTGAGCTCCCGTTGCTCGGTTCTTGCTCCTGCCAACCTAGCAGTTTGAAAGCACATCAAATTGCAAGTAGATAAATAGGTACCGCTCCAGCAGGAAGGTAAACGGTGTTTCTGTGCGCTGCTCTGGTTTGCCAGAAGTGGCTTAGTCATGCTGGCCACATGACCCGGAAGCTGTACGCTGGCTCCCTCAGCCAATAAAGCAAGATGAGCACCGGAACCCCAGAGTCGGCCATGAGAGTAATAGGCTATGAGTTATGCTCAGTAGTAGGACATCTGCTTTGCATGCAGAAAGTCCCAAGGTCACTCTGGCATCTTCAGATAGAACTGGGAGAGGCCCTTGTTTGAAACCCTGGAGAGCTATTGCCTGTTAGTATAGGCAATACTAATATAGATGGATTAATGGCCTGATTCAGAGTCAGGCAGCTTCCTATGTTCCTTAAATCCACTTTGCAAACTCACCTGCAAACCTTGAAGACAGCTACATATATGGGATTCACATGCTACATTCCATGAGTTCATTATTTGTGTACCTGTATACACACTTAGAATCATAGAATTGTACAGTTGGAAGGGATCCTGAGGATCATGTAGTCCAACCCTGTGCAATGCAGGAATTTCAACTCGATCATGCACGACAGATGGCTATCCAACCTTTGCTTAAAAACCTCCAAGGAAGGAGAGTCCACCCCAGGGGGTCTGTTCCACTATTGAGCAGTTCTTACTGTCAAAGTTCTTCCTGATAATGAGTTGGAATTTCCCTATTTGTAGATTGAAGCCATTGGTTCAGGACCAAGGCTCCAGAACAGGAGAAAACAAGCTTGCTCCATCTCCCATGTAACAGCCTTTTAGATATTTGAAGATGGCTATCATCTCTCCTCTTTTCCAGGCTAAACATACCCAGCTCCTTCAAGCGCTCCTATTAAGGCTTAGTTTCCAGACCCTTGATCATCTTGGCTGCCCTCCTCTGCACACATTCCTGCTTGTCAACATCCTTCTTAAATTGTGGTGCCCAGAATTGGACACAGTATTCCAGGTGTGGTCTGACCAAGGCAGAATAGAATGGTACTATTACTTCCCTTCATCTGGACACTGTACTTTTGCTGCAGCCTAGAATAGCATTAGGGTTTTTTGGCTGCTGCATCACACTGTTGACTCAAGTTAAGCCTGCGGTAACTTGACTACCTTTACAGTTATCCACATGTAGCATTCAGCAAGTGTACAGTCTGTGTCCCTGTGTGTTCAAGAGTTGAGCTGTACTCATCAGCAAGTGTACATTCTTTCACTCAAACACTTGTTCATGTGTAGAGACAGCTTGCACCTGTGTTCAGTGTAATGTGTGAACAAGTCCTCTGTTTAGTTGGATTTTGTGGTGCTATGTATTTTTCAGTATAATGCCCGAGTAGCTAATGTTCAGATCATTTCTTCCCTCATCCCTGGTTTTCACCTATGCCTTCGTGATAACCTCCCTCTCATGGAACCCAGCTGAGATAGTTGCATTCTCATTGCAGATCCCGCACTTATGATGGCATGCAAAGGAAGGAGCTACCAAGATCCCAGCAACTTCAGTGATCCTGACCACCTGAGCCAATTTTACTCCCTCCCAGATGTCGGGTCTGACACATTATTGACGATGGTGCAATGAACTCTTCATAGGAATTTTATTTTTTCCTTCAGTGCCTTACAGGAAATTCTTAAGACTCAAAAACAATGCAAACCATCAAAAAAATAGTCTTGCTTTGCTTGAAAACAAAACAAAACAACAACAACTACTACTACAAGAAGAACACAGATTGATAAGAAGATGATATTCTCATACACGGAAAGAGAAAGAGAGAAAAGTATTCTTGTAAAAATAATTTTAACAAAAGTTCAACAGAAGCCATTCTTTGATACCACTGCACAGTATATATTGACGTTAATTCTTTTGAAAAGAGACAAAAGGTTTTCAAGTGCCCCCTTTTATCAAAATATTAAGCTGTTCTTAATATTATGCCTCAGAATACCACTACTTATATTCTTAGGGCAGCCTGTTAACCTAACTCTGTGATTTCCTGTCACAATGTGTTGCTTTGTTCCTTCCTTTGTGATGGTAAGGATCCTCTTTTGCCATTTCCGCTCTAGATCCTGCCTCACATTTTAAGAAAATGCATATATCTGCTCCAACAAGTGAATGTAACATACAAAAAATAAAAATGATGAAAATATATGGAGGGGGGGAGGAGGTGTGTCAACCAATCGAAATAAAACATCATGGAGGCTCATGCATCAATTTGTCAAGGAAGGACCTGGTGTATCTTACAAAGGAAAGTTTTCAAGAAGGAAAACACAAGAGGACAGGCTAGAAATGCACCCATGTCCTCTATCATCTGCAAGTGCATTCTTATTTTTCTTATTAAAACAAAAATAAATAGCATCACTAGTTTTGAGAAGAATTCATTCCATTCCATTTCCTGCCACATTTCACGTTTCTGTGCGATATATCTTTTGGATGTTTATTGCTGGCACCATTGTCCCTTCTCCATTCAGCATTTAATATCAAATGATTATAAGTGAGAGGACTGAAGAATACAGTTGTCCCCCATAACGCAGTTTCAGAATCTCCACCTTTTCTTTTCTTTTTCCTTTTCCTTTTGTAATAGTTAGGATAATATTGATGATGATAATGATGATAATAATTTTTTTTTAAGAAAAAAAACTAGCACTGTGCTCAGACGATGCTTCGTGGATCAGCCTCGCTTTGTAAAAAACTAAAATTAAAAACCTAACACAGGATGGTACCTCAAAAGAGACCAGCTGGTCCGACTCGTAACAAAATGCTCTAGCATTACTATTGCTGGTAGTTATTATATTCTCAGCTGCTGCCAATCATAATTTCATGGCTACTTTTTTTCTTTCCTTTCTGAAAGATACTTAGGGTTCATCTTCAGTTTTCCTAACAGATATAACGCATTCCAGTATATACAGCTTAAGATACGGACTGCATTTATTGCCTTACAGCTTTTTCAGATGTAGGATGTGCTCCACCATAGAGTCTAGCAGAAGTCGACAACATTGGAAGAGCTCAGGGGCAGAGCGTGTGGCTGGAGTTAGAGAAGATACCAGGTCCAACTCCTGGAATCTCTAAATGTAAAAGACCTCAGGTAACAGGGTGAAGGAAGACCTCTGAGTCTGGAATCTTGGGGAGGTTTTTGCTCCTTAGAGTAGACATCCTTACCAAGGTGGACCAATGGTCTGACTCATTATGAAGCAGCATCATATGTTCATAAGCTGCATCTTTAAACAAAAACAAACAAAAAAAAAACAAAAAAAACCATTGTCATTTACCAGATAGACAAAATACAAGTTAAAGGAGTCATCTACATACTAATTACCTCTAATTATGACAATATGTGCAACTGGTAGTTCAGCAAGGGTTTCATTTCACTGATAACATACTGGATATTAAACAAAATTTTAAGAAATATTATGAATAATATATTTTTTCTTTAAAATCAAAAAAGGAAAAAATGTTTGAAAGAGGTCACTGAATATATTTGATAGCTCATTAGAACAAGGCATATAAAGGTCACTGATGATATATTTGATAGTTCATTAAATCAAGGGATATACTATAGGACTTGGGGGGGGTACGTTTTCACAAATGTAACATAAAAAAAAAAATCATCAGAAAAAATTCTCCCATAGAATAAGCTGCTGCTCATGTTTTTACAGAGGTATTAAGCAAAAAGAAGCTGTACTTTTTCATGAAACTGTGATTCTCAATTTCTGAATGCTATAATGTTCCAGCAAAAGGAAATGCAAAGCTGTGCAAAATGTTGTATTTAAGTTTTAAAAAAGGGGAAAAAATAGACATTTTCTTAGATGCTGTATAAAAAGAAATGTATGTTTGTCAAATGAAAATAATTTTTCAGAGTGGAGACTTCACACTAGTGAAGGGTTTGGTAAAAGGGTTGTTATTTTTAAAAACATGCATGTTTAAATAATTAAAAAATGTCAATTGCTTAAAAAAAATCCTGCTACTAACTTCAAGCTCTGGAAGTTCAGCAGTAGCCAGTTGAGAATTTTTTATTTTTATTTTTTCCCTTTTGTTTTTAAAAACAACAAAAAATCTTTTTTAGGTTATTTCTTTATTCGGTTGTTAAAACTGCACTTCAGTGAAAAGAAGAAGAAGAAAAAAACCCTGCCAAGCGAAACTCATGGCTGTCAAAAGTGTAAAACTGCATGTGTGGGCATAAATTCCTAAGCCTCATTTGAATGAGGCATTGTACAAAGAGTTTTAATACATTTTGTAAATAAAATTGTAAAGAAAACAAAATTAAAAAAACTGATTCTGAACTTTTGCCTAAAGCAAACACTTGGCTCAGTAGCCTGTTTCATGGATATTCCTGGCAACTTACACCCAAGCAACTGCAATAGTTTCCACCATTCTTGTTGTTGTTGTTGCTTAGTTGTTTAGTCGTGTCCGACTCTTCGTGACCCCATGGACCAGAGCACGCCAGGCACTTCTGTCTTCCACTGCCTCCCGCAGTCAAATCCACCATTCTTAAGAACCCTTAAAAAAAAAAGAAAGAACAAGGTTCTAGGCCTCATCTATACAGAAAAACTTGGGGGTGTACTTCGCATTTCCAAAATAAAACCATGGCTGCAATTGCTCACAGGTTCACTAAATACAGTTTTTATCAAAAGGAATCAGTTGTGTTGAAATGACAAAACAACCATCCACACAATCACCTAACAACTGTAGGCAACTATCAGGGCTCATCAGCAAAGATACCTACTCTCTGTCTCCTGTATTAGGTGGCTGGGTCTTTGAGCCACCATTTAAGAAATCCCCACAATTCTCCAGATTGCTACTTCATTAGGGGCATTATGGGAAATTTTACATGGCATCTTCTAGTTAGGTATGAGGGAGACATTTGAATTCAGCTCACATTTGAAGGTACACTTAGCTAATCTGCACTTTCTGAGACAAGACGCCAACCAAAACACAGCTGTCCTTTGAAATCTGCTTTTCTGTGAATTTAGCAATGTGGTTCTCCAACCAAGATGCAGGGGGAAGGTATGCTTATGGGCTGGGATGAGCTGGAATCAGACCTATAGGATCCCATACACTGTTGGTTCCAGATTTCAGGTGGCTTCGTAGGCATGACACCGTCTATGGCGCCCCATCCTCAATGTATCTATCTCCTCACTGCAGCAGATGCAAAGGGGTTCTTGTCAGACAGACTACTTCTGGGGTGAAGAACATCTACAGATGCCTGATCATGCTGACCCCCTGTCACCAGAGGCGAAGCAACCTGCTCCAGTACCTGGAGCGGCACTCGTTCCAGGGGGCGTGGCGCACATCCCGGGGGCATGTCACATGTCACGGGGGTGTGCCGCTGATGGGGGGTGGCATTTTGTCACACACACCCTTGGAATGGCACCCAGGGTGACCCCCACATCAGAATGCCCCTGCCTGTCACCAGGCTTGGTCACATAAACTATCCCACTTAAAGAAACAGTTCGTTTCCACAACATATTTAACCAGCAGTATGGTCATTTCTACAAGGACTGTAGCGAAGTTTGCCTTGACCCATAGTCCTGCAAAGAGTCTTGCAGTGGGACCAATGGGTGGTGAGCAGAATTGGCAGCAGGTAAGATGTGATGTGGAAAACCCAACAGAGCAAGGGTTAAGGAGAACCTATGGTATACAGAGAGCCCACAGGTTGTACAAAATCCAGGGATCTGGCACACAGTGCTATTTTTCTAGAAAAAGAGGCACCGGAACTCATGCTTGTTCAATGTTGCCCACATGAGAGCTGCCGGAATTCAGTTCCCATAAATTTCACCTGGGGGAAAAAAACCTGCTGGCACACAATGGGCTAAGCACAACTACAAGCAAGCACCCAATGTGGGAAGCAGGGAGCTGGGCCTGCCAGCCAATAATATACAAGAAGAAGAAGAAGAAGAAGAAGAAGAAGAAGAAGAAGAAGAAGAAGAAGAAGAAGAAGAACCCATAAATTACATTAAATATTAAAAACTTCCCTAAACAGGGCTGCCTTCAGATGTCTTTTAAAGATAGGATAGCTGCTTATTTCCTTCACATCTGAAGGGAGGGTGTTCCACAGGGAACCAGACAGAGGGCATTCTTGGTAGTGGCGCCCACCCTGTGGAACACCCTCCCTTCAGATGTGAAGGTAATAAGCAGCTATCCTATCTTTAAAAGATATCTGAAGGCAGCCCTGTTTAGGGAAGTTTTTAATATTTAATGCTGTACTGTTTTTAACATTTGATTGGGAGCCGCCCAGAGTGGCTGGGGAAACTCAGCCAGATGGGCGGGGTATAAATAATAAATTATTTTTATATATTATATATTGTTGTTGTTGTTGTTGTTGTTGAAAGGTCCCTTGCTCATCTCTTGCTCATCGGACTCCTATACCCTGTATGCCCACAACCAGTGTGCACTGCCCATTTTGTTATGTAAGCCTTTTTTTCAGAAACCGTATATATTAATCTTATGTAGTTAGGCTTTGTAGTATGAATGGATTTTGTTCTGTATTCTTTGTTTTATAGAATATATATAATAATGTTATGTTACTAAGCAAATTTAATAAAACGGGGGGGGTGGTAAAAAAAATGGGGCACTTCCCCACCAACCTCTGCACTCAGCCAGTCTCACCACCTGCCTACCTCTCTGCTTACAACCAGTACTGTTGGCAGCTTCCTCCTTGGTGTTGGGGTTGTAGAACTCAGAAGGGAAGAGGATGGGGCCAAAACCAAGATCAGTTGGCTCGGCTTGCCATTGGCTCTGACTCCATCTACTGTTGCGCTCCTTGCCTTCTGCTTTACCAGACCATATGGGCACCAGTCATCCCTGTCAACAATGTGCAATGGCAGGTAGGCACTTAGGAACACAGATAGGTGGGCTTTAGAACACAAACCACCATTCAGATTATGTGGTGACAGTAAGACATTAAGAAGCCTGGTCAGAACCCACATTAAGGCCCATCCTCTATGGACACTGCAGGGTTTTTGCATGTGTTCAGGGCTGGTCCAACACATTTTGCCACCTGAGGCAGACCCCAAAACAGCACATCCCCTCCCTGCCAGGAAAGAAGGAATGAATGAAGATCTGCATTGGGAACAACAGGGGAATAAAGGACTGACATCAGGATCTGGTGCCCCTGGGTATCCTGCTG